GCCAGTTATTTCTGGGTATAGAAGTCACTCTGCTAATCTGACTTTTGCCACGTGTAAATCTTGATGCCATTGCCTCCTTGACGGGCAGCGCACACAGAGAGAGGAAACTCTGCTCCACCGAAGACAGAATTTCTCTCTGGGATAGAGCTGATTGTGTTCTTCCCATATATTATGAAAATCTATCAGTCACGTTGACTATCATGACCCAAACAGGTCTGTTATCCATAGAAGGAGCAATGCTCTGATATCTCAGTTCAATTCATTGTGTTCCAGCTAGTGGATGCTGTGATCTCCCTTTTTTTGGTACCCTGATCTGGAGGAACCCTTCAAAATATCTGATTTTCTACATACACCAGTTATAGGAGCACAGAACATACAAATGGAGCTTGTTCTCTGCCAACAGATAAGACAGTGCAACATATGGAGGGGATATCCAAATCTACTGGATAAGTATCGTATGAATAGTATCGTATGTGTACGATATCAGAATTCCTAAAAGGCTCCAATAAGAATTGGATTTTTGTTTCTGTGACAGCACTTGTTTTCCCTTATGGCCATCTTCATCTTCTGTTAACATTTTTTTGAGATGAATGTTCCTTTGTTCCTAATGGTATTAATTCTCGTCACAGGCCTATGACTGAATTCCTTGGAACCATATGTCTGTGTTTGTCCTGAATCCAAAGGAACTCCAGGAACTGCATCACTCTGGGTGTGTTTGCTTCTTCAGCTTTCTATCTGTACAGAACCCCGGTAAGACAAATAGTTGGACAAGAGATGAGTGAATTTCCTTCTTCCCTAAAGCGAATATTATTGCTACCCTGATCCTGGCGAGAGACCCTTGGAGCACACATAAGATCATACGGTAAAGATAGAAATTGGAAAACATAAGAATTGCCTGATGATGGTAAAATGGGAAGGCTTTGATGACAAGCCTGCATTAGGAACTTATTTAGATGTTTCAGAGAGGGACATTGCTTTGCCTGACCCCAATTTTGTGTGACTAGAACTAGGAGCAGGTTACAATGCTATGATTGTAAGTAGCTGGGAATGGGACAAAGATATTCCTGAAATTCTTCCAAAGCTCCATAGGTAGTTCACTCTGGACAATCTCCAGTGACCCATTTGATCAAAGTTACAGGTAAGACCTTTTGCCCCCACAATAAGAGAGCCTGTCACCAATCAGGTGTCTACCTCCAGTTAAGGCTGGTTGTGAGACCCGCAGATACCTCTGAAGCAACAGAGGACAGTTACTGACCTGGCACTTGTTCTAGCTACCACTTGTAAAGATGTATTTTCGTCGGCTACACTTCACAAACTGCTTCAATTTGCCATATGACCTGTATTCCTTTTGATGATGTCTGGCAGGAGTCAGAACTGTAAAGACTCTTCTGTTGATCATGAGCAGCCTCAGCTTTCTATAAAGTTTCCCATTGTATCACTAAGATAGCTGGGAACTGATTTGTCTGAGCATCTAATCCCAAGGTCCAAAGCCCCATATACATGCATGAAACAAATATGAATCCCTTTTTTCTCTCCCTTTTTCTTCTTTCCAGAGAAAAGTCCTTAGGCCATGCAATTTTTAGGTTGCAATAATCTCCACTTATGTTAGAGCTGCTTGTGAAAGCATGGGGAGACAACTCAGCGTGTCAGATGACAGTTCATATTTGTTTATTTTTGTTCGTCTGATGCCACCCAAAAGTTTCCATGCCCAAAGGAGAAGGCTGCGATGAGATGATGCATGACTGAACTTGGCTAGCTGTAAAGGGTCTGTATAGTGAAGAGGCCATTCGTTCAAGTAAAAATCTCCCTGAGTTCAAAACACTGAATCCCTGACCACAGGGGAAAACAGCCACGTTTATCTAAGACACCAGTCCTATGTTAAATACTGACTAGTGAACACTGAGGAATCTTCTGGCCTTATAAAATGGAGGCCAGGGCAGAAATAAATAAATGTCGAGTCAAGAGGCCCAACACTGCCCACTGTTTCTTTCACATCTGGGTTGCTGTCTCTTTCATTACCCCATAGCCATTTGTCTGATGGGAAGGGATGGAAGCGATGACGAGAAACATGGCAACCTGCAACAGAGGTTGGAAACAATAACCTGGATATTACGGCTTGGTGATGCACAGTAGCAGATGGGAATGACAGCATGATACTTTCCCAGGCTTTTTGGTGTGGCCAGAAATCCCTGTCCCTTTAGTACATCTTCCAGGAGTGCATAAGAAAAAGTATATGGCTACAACCTTTCTTGGGTAAGAAACTGTAGACCTCCTATATGTTGTTTCACAATACTCAGTACTCTATTGTCTAACAGTGTCTATCCTCTGCTGTGTTATTTGTTTAAATGTATTTTATATTTGATTTTCTAACTCTGATTTCATCTGCTGCCTTCCTCCTGCAAGCAGGAAGAATTCCCTTTGCATGTGTGTTAAGTCGGGGGAGGTGCACGCCTAGAGGAATCAACACATGTCTATGGCCTGGTCGGTAACCTTTCAGAAGTGGTGTGCCGAGTGTTCATTTATTCACTCTGATTTAAGGTTTTGCGTGCCAGTAATACATTTTAACGTTTTTAGAAGGTCTCTTTCTATAAGTCTATAATATATAACTAAACTATTGTTGTATGTAAAGTAAATAAGGTTTTTAAAATGTTTAAGAAGCTTAATTTAAAATTAAATTAAAATGCAGAGCCCCCTGGACCGGTGGCCTGGACCCGGGCAGTGTGAGTGCTACTGAAAATCAGCTCACGTGCCGCCTTTGGCACGCGTGCCATAGGTTGCCTACCCCTGGCCTAGTCTTTTCTGCACTGATCTGCCCTGCTGCACTTTGAAGGTGAGCAGAGGAACTCTCACTGAGGATTATCTGCCCTGCTGCACTTTGTGAAGGTCAGCAGGGGAAACAGCGCCAATTTTAATATTAATTTATTCCCTCTTTGGGAGTTTGTCCTCATAATCCTGCTTCAGAAGGGGGAGTGAAACTGGTCCCAAATTGCTCCAGAAATATTTCAAGTGGCTACCGATATCTCTGTCATCAATGAGGCTGGACGTATTTGTTTTCCTTTCGGGTTTCTCAGGATGGCCCTGTCCTGGTGCTCAAAGATGGGCTTCCCCAGGAGCTCCATCCCTCTCTACTGCCTGGGATCCACATGGTCCAGTGTAGCGGGGTGGTTACCCCGCTCCTGCCTGAGGGGTTTAAAACAGCCTTGGCAGAGGGCTGGGGCAAAGGGAAAAGCTACTGGGCTGATTGGGGAAGTAGCCACAGCTGGGCCACACGCCAATCAGGCCCCAGCTGGCCCTACATAAGAGGCTGGGAGCCAGGCACTCAGAGTCTCTCTCTGCCTTCAGAGAGAGAAGGGCCTGGCTGCAGGGAGCTAGATGCAGGGTACCTGTAGTGCAGCAGGGCTGAGGAGCTGGGGAGCTCCAGCCTGGAAAGCCCCAGGCTGCAGCCTAGGAGAAGGCCAAAGGGTACTGGGGGTTGCAGAGGGCAGCCCAGGGCTAGGCCAAGGCAGCAGGTCCAAACCCAACCTTGCCAGTGATGAGTGGCCTATACTGCAATCTGCCCCAGAGAGTGAGGGCTAGTTGGTGACTGGCAGTGGTCTTATCCTGAGGTGAGGTGGGGTTAGTGGATGGGGGTTCCCCTGGGAGGGGACACCTAGCATGTGTGGGGGTATTGCCAGGGGGCAGCACCCAGGGCAAGGGGCACCAAGGTCCTGGGAGGGACATAGGTGCCAGAAGAGGACAAGGTGGATCACCGGACTGCAGAGGGCGCTCTAGGGGCTGGTGAGCTAATTCCCTGGACGACCAGCAGGAGGTGCCACAGGGGTGAGTCCGGCCCTCTTATATCCAGATAGGTCAGTGTTTCCCAGAAGGACTCAGCCTGGAATAGAAGTAGGGATTCCTAGAGGAGGCAGTTCTAGAGTTGAGAGGATGGGGAGGGAGCTGGGTCCAAAGGCCCTTTACCACTGTCTCTAGTATTGGCAGCATCCATGCTGTGTCCGATTCCCTCCAGTTGTGACCTACAGACAAGGAGGCAGTTGAGCTCCTCAGTCAGAGGCACAGCTGCTGGTGCAGGCTATAGGAACTCAGATGTAATCTTCCATCTAGTGTGCTGCCCTTCTGGCTTCCCTCCCATCATGGGAAGGGAAAAGGGAGCAGCTGCTTGCCCTAGAGCCAGTTTCATTCCAGTCCTACCTGACTCCTTTCCTACTGGGCAAAGAGGGTCTGAAGCAACGCCACCAAGCCGGAGCTGCATCTTGCCCAGCAAAGCTAGCTTCCCCAGTACTGTCTGGTTCCCTTTCTTCCCAGGAACAGGTGAGGGAACAAGCCAACCCTGCCATGCCTGGGCAGAGAGGGAAAATGTGTCCTGCCTGCAGAGCCAGCTGAGCTACCCAGTGAGACACTAAGTAAGTGGGGGAGCAGGAGACAAAAGGGCCTTCCTTTTGCCTCCAGCTTTTCTTGACCTAGCTTGGACCCTGAAGCCTGCAGAGGCACCATCCGCTTCAAACACCTCAGAAAGGGAATCATAGCTGAGGGGAAAACTGCCCCCAAAATCCAGTGCAGCCATGGGACATGACTGGGAATTAGACAGAAACATTACTGAGGACAGGTGTTAGTCTAAAATTTTGAAATAAAAGTCAGGAATTTCCCACAGAAAAAGTTCTGTGGCAGGGAGGGGTGGCAGAGATGCTGGTCACTGGAGGGAACTTCAGGACACAGGGTGTTCCCCTGCTACCAGTGACTAACAGATCTGGTTCTGCCCTGAATCTGCAAGCAGGCTGAAGTACCCACTGTAATAGATCTGTGGATTTTGCATAAAGAAGAAAAAGGATTTTTGTCTATGGTCTTCTCACATCTGAATCTTTAGTTTTAAAGAAGGGTACAGAAGTTATGTATTTGTGAATTCCATGTAAACTGACCACTGACACTTGTATCTACATGTTTATGCTATACATGCACATTCTAACCATTCAAGATCTAAAAGAATTCCTCTACTGTGTTCACACCTCTCTTCTGGTTCCAGTCATGAGCATCACCAAGCTGAGCAACGTTATATGTATATCCATCTTGCTGACGAAAATAATCATCGGTGCTGAACACCACGCCATCACGATTTTGACCAAGTAGAATACTGTCAAACAAAGAAAAAAAGCAAAACCATTACAAATTAGCCAAATCTTATTCTTTAGAGGGTAAACAATAAAGTGATATAGGGAAGTTTAATGTTGTACTATTTTTGATCTTCGATACCTTCAGTTTTGTCGCTAAAAGAAACCCAACAATTTCCAATCCAAAATTAAGCATTTTCTTTTATCTCCACTGTTTCCTTATTTGGTGGTTTTTCTCCCTTCCTCACAGGAGGCACATTTGTGCCTACTTTCCATGACAGTAACAACTGAGCACATTCCATATCTTTTAATGTATATATTTTCACAACACTCCTGGGAAGTATTACTCCCATCTTGCAGGTGGGCAGTATGGGAAACAATCACACAGGGTGTTTGTGGCAGAGTTTGGAACTGAATTGGGTCTCCTGAGTCAGAGACCAGTGCCCTAACCACTAGACCATCCTTTCTCTCATTTGTACCTGTGCAACTCTAGCACATTGTTTCTCAAATGCGGCCACCATGGCCGCATGCAGCCACCAGGGGCTTTTCTAGCGGCCACACCCTCCTGTGCTGTGATGGGGTGGGGGTGAGTGGCAAAATAGCAGCCTCTCCCCCTCCTTGTTGCTCCTGGATGCACCATGATAGTGTTGATTGCTGGGGCTGCCAGCAGCAGTTGGGCTCTGCCTCCCTCTGGAGACACCTCAGGCACAAGGCTGGAGGATCAGGCAGCCAGTGAATTCCCCACCTTCCCAGGGCAGTGGGGCTCAGGCTTTGGCCTTCAGCCCTGGGGTGGCAGGGCGGCAGGTTCTGGCTGAGGGACATTGGGCTCCAGTCCCAGGCTCTGGCTATGAAGCGGTAGACCCCAGGCTCCAAGGCTTTGGGCTCCAGCCCTCCACTGCCTCTCCCAGCCCCCCATCCAGGGCTTGGCAGGGCAGGGCTGAGTAAGTCAGCAGTGAAACGTGATACTGGCATGTTTGTTAATATCACTTTTCACAACAGACTTTCTAACTAGCAATAAATAAATAATGTTTTGGACTGTCTATGTGCATATTTATTTGTTTTTTCCTAAAGCTAATTAAGTGTTTTAGGGAAAAGAGTGAGAGCGGCCACCAGCAAGAGTTGGTAGCCATACTCTGAGGCCACCAAAAAATTTGTCCTGAGAACCCTTGCTCTAGTATATAGTACTGTACATGCCTAGCTGGAGCAGCACAGTAAAACTAACAAGACTTACACGTCACTTACTCTATTGTTGCTGCACACGCAAGAAAAACAGGCAGTGGCAGCAGAACCAATGTAATAATCCTGCAGGGCTGTTCTACTGAGCAAAGTCAGAACTGCAACAGAGCATATGCCTTTCCCTAAAAGCAACCCTCACTTTTAACTTATTTTAAAATAAGACAAGCTATTTGATTTCTCTCCCTCTCCCCCCACCCCCCAAATTTAACTTTTCCCACTTTTGGTCACACAGAGAAATCATTTGATGATTCCTTCTACCCTCCATCTTTCCTAAACTTTCAGTGGAAAACACTGTTTTAGTGTCACTGCATGCACTCTTAGCTCAACCAGGAAAAAAAAAAAAGCAGTCAGTCCTCCATCAATGTAATACTAAATCTAATCATCACACTATCACTCCCTAATGCCAAAAAATTAAATATCTTAATTTTAATAATTAAGTGTTTACATTTCATAATTATTTGATGCACAGTATTTTTTAATTTAAAATAAAACCTTTGCCAACACTTTAAATAAATAAATATTTATTTCTATGCATTAAACAATCTTGGTTGACAATAGTTTCTTAAAAAGCTTTAAAGAAATGGCGAAGAAAAAGAGAAAGCAGAAATTCATAAAACAATAAATCATTCTCCTTTTGTTGCTCTTCTTTCCTTTACCTGTTCTCTTACTAATCTATCCTCCTAAACCACCTCACCTCCCTCTCCACTTTAAACATTTTTTTAAAATTTGTCAATGCCAGTTTGGTATTGTATCATGGACTGGATCCATTTAATACTACTAATTTTTTCATTCAGACATCCTAACACTTAATTATTAGTTATTTAACGAATCAAGTGTTTTCAGATTTCAAATATACAGAGCCAGGAAATTATTATTTTTATAAAAGCCATATCATCCCCAAAACAAATCCATCAAGTGCCCTCTGCAGCTCCTGTAGTATCCATCAGAAAAACAGTATGTACATAATTAAGGCTACAATCTACCAGTGTAACACTATGAAGCCCCACTGAAGCCATGGGAGGTCTGTCTGTGCAGTTCTTTTTAAGGGAATGGGACCATCATGAATATGCATTTTATTTTCACTGGAAATGCCACTGCAATCTCAAATATATAAATCAGTAATGCAAAAGCAGTTCTGTCTTGGGAAAACATATCACTCAGTGTCACCAAAATCTACTATACTCACATTTTTATAATTCTATATTTTTATCTAATGTTGTCATCAGCTACCATGATAAATAAGCCATTACAGAAGAGGTCTCCATTTTTAAATGAATGATTTTATTCTTTTCAATTTTTAAATTCTGAATAAAACTAAAATTAACAAACTTTTGTTTTATCCAAAATTCATTTCACTATTGCCTAGTTTTGCCAAACCATATTTGTGAACGAGCAAGGTTGATTTATTACAGCTCAGTTATAGGAACAGAATTATCTGCTACCTCAGCAGCACACTCAAAATCTCAACCCCTGGGCAGAATGAGACTTCTTACTATATTCATATTTATCTGCCACTTCTTAGACCCACTATTACTTTAACAGGTTTCAAGTAAACATGGTTAAATTTGTATGTACACAGCAGTCTGTCACTACCAACACATGTCCACAACTATCACACTTGATATCTCTATCAGTGCATTCTGGGAAATCTAGGCAGCTATGCTATATTGCCTCAAAAGGAGACAGAGTAGCCAGAGGATAAGAAATAGAGCAGCATGTGGGGCCTTGTACTCTGGGATGTCCTACAGATTAGAGACCAGGAAAGGAGGAGAACAGGCCAAATCACAAATAACGTAGAAGCATAAGTGTGTCCATTTGCACTCTCAATTACCATGCCTGTCCATAAAAATTTGCAATAATAACTTTACTAGTTTAAAAGTTTCGTTATTACACAATTCTGTCCTCTAACTTTGTGCACACAACCCACTGTCATCAGCAAGAGACTGGTTGTGGATCATTAGTATATAATCTAACATCGTAGACCAGTCACAAAACCACACATCTTCTTTAAAAATTCAACCACAGAAGGAATCTGACACACCACTCTGCCAGATCAATCATGAAGATAAAGCTCATAACACAGTACCTAATCTGTGTATATTTTATATTACTTATTCATTTATAGTGTCCTAACACAGCAATTTATAATGGCATTAAGAATAATGAAGTCCAAAAGGTACTAATGATCCAAGTAGTATGATCAAGACTGTGCTAAGAACAAATTTTTTTCTTCCTCCACCCCTATAGATAGGGTTACATAAACATCTTTATCAACATATGTAATACAATTTATGACATGACATTTTAAATGTATAATTACATATACTTTTGGTTCATATTGTTCAACAGTAAACTGAGTGGAATATTTTTTCCTTTAGCAAAAGATTTGTTGGGCTGGTTTGGGATATAACATATAAGAATTTGAACACAATTTTCCTCCTGGGCAAATAAAGCTCATAGTACTGAGGCCTTTTTAACAACTTTGAGATAAATGGTGAGTTTTGCCCATGTCTGACAACACTTCATTTCCCCCTCTCCTCCCTATAAAAATGTATTCTATAGATACTACATTCCAAGTCAGGAAGCCATGATTTCAGACAAGTAGCTGATTTTCTTATTCAGCTGAAGATGATTCTGCATTTGGCAATGAGATCCAGCTTCCATATTATTCACCTACTGTATAAAACACATGTACTTCAGGTGTCGCTATTCTCCCCAAGCAATAACTGACAATTCAGTAGATTCTTATATACAAAAATATCTCCTATCTTAAGAGAAAGTACCTACCTTAATGAAACAGCTAGTAGATAACTAGGCCACAATCCACCAACTGGCTGCATACAGCCATATTCATGCACCTCTGTGGAGCACCAATGACTTCAACAAGTCTCTCTGCAAGGCTAAATGTGGGACCTTTATTTTTATTTTAAATTTTACAGTGTCGTTATGTACAATTGACATAGCGTTTCATGTTGTACTGACACATATCGAGCACATTCTGCTGTATTCTCCTATTTGCTAAAGTCAACATTGACAATGGCACGAAAGTCCTGCAATCCCAGAAACACAATAAATTATTTTATTTTCCATGTATTGCTTACCCCCAGCCAAAACTCTGACTACAGCACAATTAAAACTGTCATAACAAACAGATTAAAATTAGGGCTGTTGATTAATCACAGTTAACTCATGCAATTAACTCAAAAAAATTAATTGCGATTAATCGCAATTTTAATCTCACTGTTAAACAATAGAATACCAATTGAAATTTATTAAATATTTTTGGATGTTTTTCTACATTTTCAAATATAACAATTTCAATTACAACACAGAATACAAAATGTATAGTGCTCATTTTATATTATTTTATTACAATATTTGCACTGTAAAAATGATAAACAAAACATAAGAATGGCCATACTGGGTCAGACCAAAGGTCCATCCAGCCCAATATCCTGCCTACCGACAGTGACCAATGCCAGGTGTCCCAGAAGGAGTGAACCTAACAGGTAATGGTCAAATGATCTCTCTCCTGCCATCCATCTCCACCCTCTGACAACAGAGGCTAGGGACACCGTTCCTTACTTATTCTGGCTAATAGCCATTAATGGACTTAACCTCCATGAATTTATCTAGTTCTCTTTTAAACCCTGTTATAGTCCTAGCCTTCACAACTTCCTCAGGCAAGGAGTTCTACAGGTTGATTGTGTGCTGTCTGAAGGACTTCCTTTTGTGTGTTATAAACCTGCTGCCCATCAATTTCATTTGGTGGCCCCTAGTTCTTATA